CTTTGTGTCTCTCGTGATCGTGTGCGTGCTGATCCGTACTTCCTACTTCAGTGCTCATGGTAGTGCAGGCCATTATCTTGGCTTGTTTAACGGCAAACTAAACATTAGGACCTAGCTGCGTCGCCACAACGTTGAGAGTATTCACATCACGCCGTGCATTTGAGCGGTCCATTCTAAACTTTGGAAACAGTATTCTCAACAATTAGTGCTCATGCGAATTTGGTAGTGAGGCCAAATGGCTCCAGTAGTCTGCCATCTTCTAAGCTGCAAAGTCGCTTCATAAATATGGAATCAATTGATCGCAAGTCCGCTACAGGAGACTGGTATTGGCAGTTTGATGTCAGTATATCGAGCAATTCAGCGAAGTTTCTCGAGGTCCTGTGAAGAGTGCCGTTTTGGATGTTCATCGTAATATGTGAGGTGTGGAGGTCAGGGGATCGCAGGCCGAGGCCTTGCGATCCCGGGGTGACACCTCGGCGGGGTCAAAAGGGTCAGAAGGACCCTATAAAAGGGGGCCGTACTCCAGAAGGACAGTTCTACTCAACGTCGTCAGGGTCCTCCCGCTGAGGGCCACAATCGAGGACTCCGCCGACTTCGCCGAATCGTCTCCACAACTCACATCTACTATTATTTTTCTAACTCATCATTCATCTGTTCCTGTTGCTGTTTTTTAATAAATAATTCCGGTACTGTGGTCGCAGAGGTATCTGTGATAACATAGGGGCTCCACCTACAGAGGTCGATAGACTCAGGAAGTGCAATGCCTAACTGGTTTTGGGATATCGTTCCGCGACAGCTTGCCACACTAGGAACTGGTTTACCCTCAACCGGAGCTGATCCCCTAGGCTCAGGCTACAAATCCCATCCCTCTAAAATGCCCATTCCTTCTCTTCAGCACACTAATTGTCTTTCTGCAAAGTAAATGGGAGGCGGCAAAAAGAATCGTAATTTTTAGCTCTGTTGCCCGTCGCGCATCTCACGACAATAGGTGCGGCAGTTCGGTGAAGATCTCCCACACCGACAACGAAGCTGACATCCGTAAATTATGGTCTCTGTTGGTTGCGGTACTCTAGAGGAGTTTACAGAACTTCGAAACTTCCACCACAACACTTCAAAAGCCGGAAGCTTTCATTAAAAATTGGAATCCGAATAAATCTCTACAAAGTCACAAGATGTGAGTGAACATGATACCGCTTTCAAGTATAAACAGAAATATTTGCCACAGAACTGCATTATACTAATAAAAATACTAAAATCAGATCAAATATATGTACTGCATATAGCCTACTAGAGCGCCGCTATTGTCGTGAGATGCGCGACGGGCAACAGAGCTAAAAATTACGATTCTTTTTGCCGCCTCCCATTTACTTTGCAGAAAGACAATTAGTGTGCTGAAGAGAAGGAATGGGCATTTTAGAGGGATGGGATTTGTAGCCTGAGCCTAGGGGATCAGCTCCGGTTGAGGGTAAACCAGTTCCTAGTGTGGCAAGCTGTCGCGGAACGATAT